ACCCCCCCAAAAGTGAACCGTACCGAGCCGTACCGTGCCGTACCATGCAGTGGAAAAGCGCCATTAGTTGCAGGAAAAAAAAAAAATCCACTTGCAAAGTCAAGCAGTCCGTGAAGGACAGAAATGCTGGTCTATGGTAATACCAGTGGTGTAGTGTAGGGTATACGCAGGTATATGGCGTATACCCACTTCTTTATCAGTCGGCTTTGCGAATACCCACTTCTAAATCCCCTCTGATGCGCATCATTCATTAGTGTCATTAGGCAAAATCATGACAGTCCACCACATGAATAGCTAATCCAATTGCATGTATAACATTTTTTTATAATAATACAAATATTCCCTAAAAACACTCAGTAAAGACAGCGGTCAGGACCGTGGCGCCGGCTTCCTTTGAAATATGTTTGATGATTGTGCCCGCTCCATCCCCGACCACAGTCAGAGAGGATGCTGATTGCCACAGTGACAGAGATGCTGCCTGTTTATGCGTGACAGCATGTCAGGGGAGGAGCGCAGAGTGGTAAAATAATAGTTAATTATTGATTACTAATTTGAATCAGTACATTACAACGAAAACAATAGCTTAAAAACCGGTAAACTCCTGTAAACTTTTCAGTCCAAGGATCCAGTAAACGAATGCGTTCAAACAGTAAATTCAAAACAGCTCTAATACAGAGAAAACCCAACCGATTTCATCAGAGATTGTGGAGAGTCGAGTCCAGATGTCAGTAAATTATTATTTTCAGCGTGTATTTGGTTTAAAAGCACGAGTGTTATACTGGATGGTGACTGAAGGTGTTTTAGATTATGCTTATTATTTTCAGCGTGTATTTGGTTTAAAAGCATGAGTGTTATACTGGATGGTGACTAGAGTTGGGTATCGTTTGAATTTTATCAATTCCGATTCTGATTCCGCTTATCGATTCCGATTCTTTTCGATTCCAATGCGATTAAATAATGATATCAAACATTTATCATGTTTCTCTTTTTTGCAAACCATTTATTGGAGCTGAATACCATGAACAAAAATCAACAGGCTACATAAAAACTGGACTCTTTAAGAGCTGTTCGTGTGCAAAATAGAACTGCATGATTCTGGATAAATCGAGTATTTTTTCCCAATGGAAGTTGTGGTTCTCTCATGATTCTGAAGAAAAAACATTAGTCAACTAAACAAAATCACATGTAATTTATGAATTAATGATTAAATGACTCACTCAAGATTACTGGATGAATTAATCTCTTGTATGATTCAAAAACAAATACATTTTAACAGCCCCTTTTCGCCACCTACTGGCGTAACAATGTAATTGATAAATCTTCATTTGAAGTATCAAATTACTTTTAAAAGGTGATTTACTCTATTTTAATCACTACCATACACATCGTACACACAGTTTATATCTGAACTATAAACTTTTATCCCAGTCCTTTTGTGATTTGAATGTTTGTAACAGCGAAATAATGATACTGTGTGGTTGAAAAGACTGAAGCCGTTTCATTCATGACAGACAGCTGCTCTCTTTAGGTCAGCGACAGCGCAAACGCAAATTTAAAGGGGTCATATGATGCGATTTAAATTTTTCCTTTCTCTTTGGAGTGTTACAAGCTCTTGGTGCA